GGAGGTCTCCAGCCGCCGGGCGAGATCGGATAAGTGTCGGAAGTGATGCAGCATAGTGATACTTCACTTGTATAGTATAAAGTAAATACTTTATATTGTGATTCCTCTCTTGTTTTGACTTGTTGACGCTTCGAGTGTTCTTACATTATTGTAAATAGGAATGAATTATACGGCTATTTTCTTGATTACATATACATTTGATATTTTATTGGATAATTTATTTCTACTTAATGAAAATGTATTTCATATTGTCAATAATAATAATACGCTTTTTAAATTGATATGTTTATTTGATCCAGATTACTTTCAGAGTGTTAGCTAGAATACTTATCAGACGCCTTTATATAAATTCTGTTTGTTTTACTAGAACTCTGTTTTTGTTTATTTAACTAGATGTTACCTTCTGGAAGTCCATATCATTGGTTATTTGATTACTTATTATTTTGTTTAAGTCCGCTAACATTAGTATATGTGTGACTACCACCACTCAAATATTGACCACCATTATTACGATCTCCCATATTGGCCATAAATCTCCGACTGTCATTTTGTTCACGCACGTTTTGCCACAATTGTTTCAACTCTAAACGAGACATCTTTAAGCAAATTATTAGATCGCCTCTCGGAACCTAGTTAACCTTTCGGCACTCAGACTGCAAAAATTTTGTATAGTTGTAATAGTATATGTGGGAATTTGTTGGAAAATATCAGAAGTTAGTTTTTTATTGTGCCTGCAACCTGCATAGTTGGTCTATTTTTGTTACGTACTAGTTCAGTTTTATCTTTTAAGTAAGAAAAGGTTTGATGGATGAGTCTACGAGTGTCTACAACAATAAGGCAGACCTCTCCAAAATCCAAAGAATTAAAAATGACTAAGTAAAAATATTGACAAAACTTCGATCAAAGAATATAATACCATCTGGCAATACCGCTACTGAAGATGTTTCCTTACAAACACAAACAGAGCTCCAATGTTTATATATGGTCACACGCATTGATGTAAAAGTTGGAGAGGCGTTTCATGCTGATGTAGACAGTCTATATTGGTCCTAGATGCCCGATAGCATTTTTATATGCAATTTCTAACATAGACAACTGTTGTAGTTTAAATTTACGCGCGCGTTGAGTTACCTCTTTATCTCCTTTTTTAAAAACCCCTGCTGTAGTCTCTTGGAGAAACCTCGACAGGGAGCTCCTTCCATAACGTGAGCGTTCATGGGAGGGGAAATTTCTAAAATCGCTAAATTATTATAATTAAAATAAAGTAGCTATTTTATACCCTTCTTACATGCAATTAATTAGAGAAAATGTAGGATATTGTTGTGTTGTTGTAATTCCTTGTGGTTTAAGAGATTTAAAATTATATTCTCGATACTTTTAGACACCTGAAAATACATGACTGAATGTTTAAATTGGCTACGTCTTCTAACAAATTTCAACCTTACAATTTCGAGTTTCTCTCAGACCGAGTTTCAGTACGAAGTGCAATTTTAAGACAGTTCTGTTAACTGTCAGAAGGTAATTAAGCCTGCCAAAGCGAGACGTGAGATATTGTGTGCTCACTCCCCCTATTTTCAGCCTCCAGTGATGGACGTGATCGAGATTAGGTTTCAGCTTTTAAAGTTTCTCCAACTCGTTTTAGCTACTTTATCATCGGCGGCGTACATTGGTTTGTAGGTTTTCTAAAATATCGTACAGTTTATTACAGAACTTTAAAAAGATTTCGACGTTTAAAGATTATCCCTCGAGGTTTCTGCAAAACGATGAATTGGTTGCGATTAATTTTATAAGGACTTACAGATTTCTTATAACATTAATAGGTTTATTTCGAAGTAATATTAAAACTCTTCAATTAAATGGCAGAATAAAAGAACTATCTAAATATAATCTATATTTATACAATATTATCATACCTACTTGTGCAGCAATTAGTCCATTACCCTAACATTGTCTTGAAAAGATTGCTCTCAGCAATAAGACCGCCTTACTGTACTTATACAACTGTATCGTTACATTTACTAATTGTCTTGCTTATTCCCTATATTATATAATGCAAATAAAGTATACTCATTAATTAATTAATTCATAATATATTTAATAAATATATAACCGTATACAAGGTTTGTCTGTGTGTTTTTATTAGTAACAAGCTGATGCCTTGCTTAGTAAATAATTGTAGATGTCGCATCTAGACATTAGATATTGTATCATCGGAGGTACAAGGTCCCATCTTTTATGTATTTGTATTTCTGAAGACTAAAGTGCTAGGTATTTTGGATTAACAATTGAATTGTCAATCTTCATATAAAATCGTACCCACGTTAAAAAAAACTAGACAACAAACAGATGTTTATGTACCTGAAACAATATAAAAAATAAATCTTACTTTGCCTGAATTGATCCTACCAATTTATCCTGAATTATATTTATATACAGAAGCGGCTCAGAAATATCTAGAGTTGGGTTAAATACATTTATTATAATTTTGTATGTTAGCACACTAGGTTTATAACTATGATTTGGCTTTTGCTGTTATAATGTTGTAATTATTTTTAATTAATATATAAATAAAAATTTAAAACAACACCTCCCGAAGATCTCAATATCTGTTTTACTGGAAAAGGTTGTTTTAATTGAAAACCCTCTTAAATCCAAAAGCTGGCGTCATTACGGTGGTTGCCGCTTTAAAAAACCATTTCAACAAATCTGTCCTGTGCAGAAACGATTCGAGATAAAACATATCGCAGACAGACTCGATTGCTGACTCAGACATTTCTTAAAATCTTCATTTGATAGAACGGATTCCATTAGGATTAAAATTTACCAAAAATGTCGAATTTTCTACAAGGAGACATTAATATAAATCGATTTTTATATTTGAAGCTGGGATTGTTCATGGGTCATTAGCTCTTGATGATTCTTTTTTTTTTTTTTATTTTTATCCTAAAACCAAATTTATATGTTAGAAGTTTCAGCCATCAATCACTTTCAGCCACGGTTGACACTTTTGTTAAAATAATTTCTTAAATCTTTTCTAGTTCACTATTCATACAGGAAGAAATGTAAAATAATATATTATTACATTATGTTGTAGCACTTAAGGTTTAAAATTAAAAATGTTTTACTTGATTTGTTTTAGTAAAATGAAATTAAATTAACTAAATCATTCATCATTCATTTATTCATTTATTCTTTATTGCACAATAAAACTGGAAACTTTGAAGGGTGGGATATGGCGTGAATTTACTAGGTACAGAGGAATAACACCTGAGTCCTCAGGAATGGCAACGCATGGGGGGTATCATGGGCGAAACAGTATACTCTGTTATGTCCATGGTACTGCTCATGTCTATAGGCGATGGTTACCACTTTCCATCAGGTGGGCTCTCAGCTTGTTTGCCATTCTAAGTTGTATAAAAAAAAAAAACTTTGTACATGTGGCGAGTTTGATGCCATATGGCATTATCTACCAGCTAACTGTTAGGTAAAAACAGAAAACGTATGAAGGGCAGATGTGGTGAGAAATATGTCACATAATTATAGCAACATACTGAAATAATTATACATAGTAATACATAAGAAATACACACACAAATACATAAATATAACTCATATATATATATATATAAATATCTAAATCTAAATTAATGACATTATTAAAAATACAAATAGTATTAATTAAATTTACAAGTAAGTAAATAAGATTAATTTTCTTTAAAAGAAATATCAAAATATTGACTCAACTGTTAAAGCTCCATCAAACATAAGAATCGCCGCAAATGGCTAGCATTTTCATCTTCGGCAGTAATATTAAGGCTAGATCTTTGAATAAACTATAACATTGTCTAGACACGATTTTATAGTAGAGTTTTTTTTTGTGTCTTCTCGCACAGACTTACAGTTATTTAGATCCCGATAAGTTTTTTCGTTCTTTTTTGTACAGCTTTTTTGTTATTTTTGTAAAGCAGAATACGGAGTTAAAATATAGTTCAGGGTTTATTTATTTCTTATTATTATTTCAGCCGTTAACTGTCCATTGCTGAACATAAGCCTCCTCTATAAGGAGGGGTTTGCCAGTAGTTGTCAAGCTTGGCAGGCGGACTGGCAATCGCAGTTACGTTTTGGTGATGTTTTAAGAGAGACACTGCTGCCCATCCCTCCACCATTAAATTACCTTAGTCGCCTCTTACAACACCTACGAGAAAAAAAGGTGTGTCCCATTCTACGCCGGGACCACACGGCGACTTTGGTAAATTATCATAATTTATCTAAATGATTACATTAATTCCTGCCTCTTGTAAACTATAAAGCATGCAACGCAAAAACACAAAAATAGGATTTTTTTTTATGCAACTTAGAATAGCTAACAAGCTTACGGCCTACCTGATGGAAAGTGATAATCGTCGCCTATAGATATGAGCAGTACCGTGGACATAACAGAGTATACTGTTTCGCCCATGATACCCCGCATATGTTGCCATTCCTGAGGACTTAGGTGTTATTCCTCTGTACCCTGTAAATTCAACAACTGCTTCACGGTAGAAACACAAATGGGACAGAGGTGGCCAAGCAAACGATTTTTGTACAAAGTCTCCCTCTGTTGTTAATATGTATTTTTATTTCATTTAATTTATTTTAAACAACTTGGATCCATTTTTGTTAGTAGGTGTACCTAATAAATATGTCAATACTTAATTACTAATAATGATCTAGTACTCTCGGCGAGTTCTCTGAACTCATTCACATGAGACAGTCTGGTAATGCAGACTATATATATTTGTAATGTGCCTCCGATCAAACTGTTTATAATTACTCTTCTCCATCCAAAAGTTACCTGGAAGTGATCGCTTTTAGCGATAAGGTCGCCCATTGTTTTCTCAATACGATCATTTCTTGTAATTGTTTATATCTATAATAAGTTTACTATTGTAATCTTTTGGAGGAAACAATAAAGAAAATCTATCTATCCATATGATTATCTGGTATTATTGAAACAAATGTTAGAAATAAAATTATTTAATAAAAAATAATACAAAAATCTTATACCATAGACAATACACTCGTGAGACATTTGACATTATGTATTGTCGTAATATACTATACACACGGGCGTCCTCACCGTAGTGCTAGGATGTTATTACATTTATGTCGACTGGTGACGAGTCGAGTCAAGTTGATTCGAGTATTGGATCGAATACCTAATGAGTACTCAGATTCTCGAGTGCTCTCTATATACTCTGAGAATTCTGATACATGATTCCATTACAGTAGTCTGATCAAATACTCGAATAACTTTATTATTATTTGAGAATGTACTCGATTTAGAAAAGTTGTCAAATTTTAGTCTAAATTTAAAGAGTATCAAAATACTCAATAATTAACAAAAAAAAAAAAAAAACTGATTCGACAACATACTAATATCGATACATACATAATTCGAATAAACTTCATCTAACTACTATATTATTAAAAACTAAACTCTTCTATAAACCTATAATAATCTAACTATTATAATTATTTTGTCACTTTCTATCAAATTGAGAAATAAGCGAAAACGAAAGAAACAAAACAGTTCAATAGCTATAATAGGTTTATGAGAGATTAATGTTTTTATGAACAAGATGGTAGTCTCTGTTTACTTTCTTGCAAATTTTATTCCTGCATTAATTTTATAATGATAATAACAGCCATGACTATATTCATTGTATGAATATTGTATGAAATATTATCACTTAGCTTTTCATGACATCTTCTTTCTCTATTTAACTAACTATCTAACTGTGCTTCAATGAGACAGTTTAAAAGTATCTCATATCTTGGTCCAATTACTAAATTTTTTCAACCAATAAAATTCAAAATTGGTCCAGCAATTTTGTTTATATGACGCATTGTACATTAACGATTTAGTCAGTTTCATTGTATGCATTTACAAATGGTATAAAGTTCACGACTTTTTCCAACGGATGCAAGTGACGGTTTCACTTCTTTCTATTTCTATTCTGACATGCAGTCTAGTTTACGTTAATACATCTCTTCATATTTCTAATCCAAATTGTTCTATATCTCTAAAAAATGTATATAGAAAATTGAATTAAATTCTCCCAGTGGGATTATTAATTCTGCAATTTCTTCCTTCATATCCATCGACAAATGTAAATACAATTTCATCATGCCAAAATATATTATCTTCATTAATCAATCCCATTTCAAATGAGCTCAATATCAATAATTCAAATATCTCGTAGCTCTCTCCGGTGGCGTATTACATTTGAAGTGTGTGTGTGTGCTCTTCTCACGGCGGTATCGCTCCAGTTCCGCAAGGCATTTTCATTTTATCTCGACGTCTTTATACTGACGATAACTCGTATCTATGTGAAGTGCGGGTGACGTGAGACGCCGCCGTGCTCGCTGCCAGTAATTTGACAGGCTCACCCCATTTACATTTTGGATTGTTTTCCGTTTTGTAAACCGTTTACGTTTTATTTGCCATGCTTGGATTGCTTAGGATTTAGGCGTCCTTTTCAGAAGATCCCAAATTGTTCATTAGGATTTCACATCGTCTTGCGTCATGAATAGCTGTCTATTCAGGACCTATTGTTGCATTTTAAACTAGTTTTTTAGCTTTTTCTGTAATTACACCTATTTCTAAATCACTGGTATAGTTATTTTTTATTTGTCATCGTATTATTTCCTTTAATGTTGCCTATATCAATTTATCAGTAATTTTTTTTACGGTTTACATCAACTTATCAGTTTCTCATTCCAAATTGTCATATCTTTTCTCTGTTACATAAATGAAGTCTAGCATTTATGTTAAGTAAAATTTTTGCATTTTCTTGTCAATTATCTTATTATTATGTATTATTACATTATACTGTCAATTTGTATAAACTTCAATATTCCCATTACTGTCTGTACGTACATTAATGACCAGCTGAATAGAACCGGTTCCAACACCTGTGCCGACCATCAGATCGAGCGGCACCTCCAGTCCGGTGGTGATGCCAGTCACCCGTGACGATAAGCGAGGCACCGGTGCTGGTGATGCACTGCTTAGAAGCACGATGATTATCAGCGCGGGCGTCAAGCCCCAGGAGGCCCTAAAATTAATTCGAATAAAGTGTTATGTTGTAATAATTTATTTTATACTAGCTTTTAATCACGGCTTCATCTGCGTGACCGGGATATGTTTACTGACCGGGATGAAAAATCTATATCCTTCTTCATCCCATATAGTGTGTGTATATCAAATTTCATAATGACTGGTTGAGTTGTTAAGGAGCTATAACGTAATAAACAAACATATAATATTAATAAGAATTAGTATTAGTATACATTCTTATTTTTAAGGACAAATATTTAGATTTAGAAGCATTCAAAACTTAAATCAATTTTTAAGTTAGACTTTCAGGAACACTAACACGGAAACCGTGTCCAATTTGGTACAGTAGTTTTTGCCTGATACCGAATAAATATACAAACAAACAAGCAAGCAGACAAATTTCCAAAAAAAAAAATTGTTTTGGTATCTATGTCCCTATTAAGACTTAATATTTTAAGTTGTAGCCTTGTAGGTCCCGAGACAGAATAGGCCACCCCTTCCTTTCTCGTAGATGATATGGTGGAGGGAAGGGTAGCAGCGTCTCACTTTAAACATCATTAAAAGCTAAACTGTGGTTGCCAATCCACCTGCCAAGCGTGGCAACTACTGGCAACCTCCTTCCCCCCTTTCGAGGGAAATTATGTTCAGCATTGGACAATTAACAGTTGACACAACAACATAAAATAATCACAATTGAACCGTTTAAAGAATTCGATTTAAATTTGGCATCCAGAAGGATTATGTTTTAAAATACTTCACGCACAAAGCCGAGGGATACAGCTAGTAATGTGTAAGTTAAACTAAAATATAATAGACTCACATGGATACTGCCCGGAGGCAACGCACCAGCGTTGTCTCAATATCTCGGTCACAATGCTGACACGCGAATGGACGGAAACGTGTAGTGGCAGAAAGCGTCTTACAGATCAGATAAATCCCTCTTATCTGTTGATCAATCGTCGAAGTCATATTGATCTTTACGTAACCAGCGATAGAGTTTTAATTCGATAATACTTGTCGAAGAGAGGAAATAGTTCTGTGGAAAAAAATAGATATGGGGACGCCGATAAAGGTTTAAAAGAATGTGGCATGTTTCGCAATTTCTAATAGTTGTTCCTTGTTGAAATACCGATGTTTTTGTGTTTTTCCCGACTTTCTTTTGTTTTCCCTTCTATTTTCTTATTCTTTGTTGTTCTTGCACATACATATATACCAACGTTTCAAGTCTTAGTTTAATAATAAAAAAAAAATATGCAGAAATAATTATTTATATGTTTTTTTTTTTAATGGATGGTAATGGAATGGTAACTCTATCTGCTTTACATATACACTGGCAGGATACCAGTAAGAGATGTCAGATGAGAATGAAAAGGCAGGCTCGTTAGCCTTATTCATCACAATAGGCTAGTAAACTTACTATAAATATAAATAATTACAAGAAATAATCATAATGAGAAAACAATGGGCGACCTTATCGCTAAGAGCGATCTCTTCCAGCCAACCTTTGGATGGAGAGGAGTAATTATAAACAATTTGGTGGGAGGCACAATGAAAAATTTTGTTAGTTCTAAATATGGGAGGTGTGACACATATGGTATAATAATATAAATATTATCCCTACTCATTATTATATATATATATATATATATATATATATATATATATATATATATATACATATATACTTATTGAAACATTTCGATTAAAGTTATTCGAAAATTGCACGCAACAGTTGGTGCTGGTTTATGAACCTTGTAGTTAACAAAAAGTTCTGCTGCAACCTGATCATTATGATTAACAGCACATTTTCTTTGCAGATTATATGGATTCGCTATGCAAGGACCACTTCCTGCAGCGGCAGTACAGGAAGCTGGACGGGGGCGTGTTGTGGTCCCGCAACGAGCGCAACTTGGATTGCACGGTGACGTTTCAAACACACAGCATCCTGCAGCGGTTCATGCTGCACTTCGACCTCCTGCAGCTGGACTGCAATGATCACTTGTACGTGTACGATGGCGCTCACGCCACCGCGCCGCCGAAGGTGAGACTATAGAATACGAGTGTAGATGTATTTATAAAGAGAAAGGTAGATTGGCCTTGTTCACTTCAAGGTAAAAGCTTTTTTTTTATACTACTTAGAATAGCCCACCTGATGGAAAGTGGTAATCGTCGCCTATAGACATGAGCAGTACTATGGACATAACAGAATATACTGTTTCGCCCTTGATACCCTCCATGCGTTGCCATTCCTGAAGACTCAGGTGTTATTCCTCTGTACCCTTATCCACTGTCATCTTAAAAGGAACCCGAAACACATTCCGAATTCCTTAGATTTTTTTAATCAGACAGTTTTCAGGTTATGTGTGTTCTCTGTCTTCGGCAACCTTGGGTCTTTCCCTATATCATAACCTATTAACTTCTGCCAAAGCCAATTTGAAAAAAAATGTGTCAAAGTTTTTAATTCTTAATGTTACTAACCCTAATTACTTATCTTACTAATATTATTAATGTATATATATGTAATTATAAAAGTGAGTGAACAAGAGTTGTGTCCATGGGATAAAGTTTTTGGTCCCTCTTGAAATGAGTATACAACTTCTAGCAGCAATATTTCCGAACTGATAATATATATATATATATATATATATATATATATATATATATATATATATATATATATATATATATATATATATATATATATATATATATATATATATATATATATATAAAAAAAAAAAAGAAAGGAAAAAAATTAATTATTTGTTACAACATTATTTCTTTTTGAAATCGATTTTTTATTTTCTTTCCACGAAATAGTAATATCTTCTTTAGGATGAAGTAATTTTTCAATCACCCCTAAGCAATAAGGCTTAAGGTGAAGTTACAAAGTGATTACAGAAATCTCCCATTACGTTAATAAGCACGAATGAGGAAAAATAAACAATATCTTAATCGTAATTGCCTTCGATTTTCTTCGGTTTTCCTGTCCTTCATTTTACGGTTCACCGTTCATAGATTCAATATATATATATACATATATATATTTTTCCTTGAATCACGTTGTTGGCTACGTCATCAAATCTGACGATTGTGCTAGGACCGAAAAATTGACGCCTTGACTGATCCACTGTTGTAATGCTTCGTTAGAAAAATTACATTTATTATTTATTTTTTATATATTCACTCTTATATATGTTTGTCAAAGCTGTTATATTTGTGTACGCTTTGTTTTGTGTATATGTACAATATTTCGTATATATGTATACATACACACACATTTACACGTCCACGTGACCGGGGTATGTTTATTGAATGAGATAAACAAGAGTCTATATCCTTTTCCATCCCCCATGTATGTATACCAATTTCCATAATGATTGGTAAAGCTGTTAACACGCTATAAGGTAACAAACAACCTCGCTTTCACATTTATAAAAGGTAACAGGCTAATCAAGGCTTCCTCTTATATTCTCTGTCTGTTCTATTCTATTATTAGTTTTTTTTTATAACTTAGAATGGCAAACAAGCTGATGGCCCACCTGATGGAAAGTGGTAACCGTCGCCTATACACATGAGCAGTACCATGGACATAACAGAGTATACTGTTTCGCCCATGATACCGCCCATGCGTTGCCATTCCTGAGGACTCAGGTGTTATTCCTCTGTACCCAGTAATTTCACGTTTAAAAATTAACATCAAAATATGAAAATCTGGTTTGATGATAATATTATATTCATCATGTTCATGTCAGCCGCCAACTGTCCATTGCTGATCGTAGACTTCCCTCTATTAGGATGTTTTGCCAGTAGTTGCCACGTTTGGCAGGCAGATTTCAACCGCAGTTAGACTTTGGTGATGTTTTAAGACGGACGCTATTTTTTTTAATAGATGATAATGGAATGGTATACACTGGTGGGACACAAGTGAGGGGTGACAGGTGAGGATGAAAGCCGGTCGGTTGGCCCGTAGTAACCAATTGAAAAAGAATTAACCACTATGGTTTCCAGGGGGAACCGCGTGGAGGTCGACCTGATAGAGGGTGTATTGCTAGCAATGGGGCTATTAAATCTCTGAGAGACGCTGTTGCCCAAACTTGGATCATTAAACTTCTTTAGTTATCTCTTACGTCACCTACGGGAAAGGAAGGGGTGGCGTATTTTATGCCGGCATCTAAACGGCAATATTGTTATTTACTACTGACAATTCTATAAATTCAAAACACATGTTAATTATGTTATTAATGTAATTATAATAATGGCCGCCAATTTCCAACTGACATGTTTACGACAAGTCAATAAATCATACAACGCTACAGTAAAGCGACTAATATCGCATTACTAAGCACTCAAACAGCTTAATTTGGAGACATTCCAGCAGGTCGCCGGTGTCAGCCATTATCCCGCCAATTCCCTATTATTGCAGCTACCGATCGGCTGTCTCCGTTATTAAAGATTCCATCGCTAATGAGACCTGGTGGAATCCGCCATCTCGTTCCATTATTGATAATCCTACATCCAAAGCATACGACCATTAATCTGAATTAAATTTGGAAGCTTGATTTTAAACCTTATTGATTATTATCTAGGGATTTCAACGGTTCGAGATTTTGGTTGGGCAAAAGGTGTTACTAATATCTGCTCGTGACTTCTTTCGCATAAATATCATATAAAATATCATATATTTATTATTAATAGCATAGAATAGGGTGTTTTTTTCCGTGGGTGTCGTAAGAGGCGACTAAGGAAGGGCGAGGGATGGGCAGCAGTGTTTCTCTTAAAATATTTCCAAAGGTAGCAAGGCTGCCAAGGGTAGCAACTACTATAAAACCTCCCAAGTGGGAGGCTTATGTTCAGCAGTGGACAGTTAAAGCCTGATATGATGGCGATGTTTTTTTTATTTAGGCACAAGATGCATTATTATACAATACAAACCATAATTACGTCGCGCCATTACCATTGCACGATTGTATTTAGTTTTTTACTTTTTTTTTTATAAGTTAAACGAGCATGCGACTCACCTGGTGGTAAGTGACAACCGCCACCCATAAGCACAAGTAACATCGGAGTAACTAAAAAGGAAAATGCTCTTTTATAAAAGATTACGATTCGTATCGGTTCGGAAATACCACTGCTATTTTATTCCAAAGCGTGGTGATGCGTGGAAGAAACTGTCTTGAAAAAACGCATGATGCTAAATCGCCTATATATCGACATATAAGCTGACGGCCCAACTGAACGAACGGTTCACATAAAGACTTGGTCAGCATTATGGACATCATAGATCAAACATGTAAAGAATATTCCATAAAGTTCATGGTGCTATGAACAGCCATCGAGAGTGAACAGAGACCAGAACTATAGTATAGATCGAGCCTTATAATACAGAAATGTTTAGTAAATAATCGTACTACCTTATTTCATTTGAATTGCACGACGTTGCTCGCAAAGTTATATTAACTACAGATAGTATCTATAGCTTTTTAGTTTATCGTTTAAACACAACTACTCCTATCTTCTAATGAGTAGAGTAAGTTTATGTTAGTAATAATTTATTTAAACTGAGGTAAACGTTTAAACGGAATTATCATGAACTTGTTATCTTCAGCTGTGTTTCGGTTTGAAGGGTGGGATATGGCGTGAATTTACAGGGTACAGAGGAATAACATCTGAGTTCTCAGGAATGGCAACACATGGGGGTATCATGGGCGAAACAGTATACTCTGTTATGTCCATGATACTGCTCATGTCTATAGGCGACGGTGACCACTTTCCATCAGGTGGGCCGTCAGCTTGTTTGCCATATTGTTATAACTTTATAAAGACTGTTGTTATCATATCAGTAATGGAAAACGTGTGAAACCAACTCTTGTAATATTACTATGTCGCCTTATTGTACCGTATTTTTAGCAATATATTCATTTATTCGTTCATTCATTTATAGTATAGGCGACGGTTACCACTTTCAATCAAGTGGGCTGTCAGTTTGTATGCTATTAATTTTTTTTTTGACATGACATTAATTTTAATTGATACACAGGACTTGCATCTTGCATTTACACCAACTACAGATGTACACAACATTTTCTTAAGTCATCGATTACATATTAACAAAACTGACACAAACAAAACAATAAAAAAAAAACATACAAGTAAGAAACATAAGAATACTTAAAATATACAATTAATAAAATTATTAGAACAGTGCACACAGAATTAAAATTATTGGTTGTGGAAAAATTATGGCAGTATTACGAGAGAACTTTTAGAACTTTACTCTTGAATGACTTGGGATGGTCGTGAAATATATCAAGATTGTGGGACTCGTTACAGAAATTGTACGTGCTATTATAAGTTGAATAAAAAAAAATTAATAAAAACTAAACTACAAAACGAATTTTGATAAAATTTCTATGGAACTTATCTGTAAGTATTTTATGATATATACATACATATTATAAAAAAGAAATATTCATAGTTTTGTCATTAATTCGTAGAACCCAAGCGAGTTCTCACACTGAAGATTGATACGCGACTTAAGTATTCAGTAGATGAATTATTATTAGCATTATTTATAAATAATGAAATTCTTGGCGACGTTTAATTTATGTGAGAATGTTAATCATGGCTATAGACAGACGTCAGGTGTCGTGAATCATCCAAATAATTAACACTCGAATGGAGAGACAACTTTGAGAATTTTAAATTCAAATTTAGCAAGTTTCGGACAAATGGCGTACGAACAAAGACCTCGTGGAACTTTGTTGTGATCGCTTTGTGAGACGGATGGAGTTTCTTGATGGACTCTCCCCTGTTTTCTTTAACGGCTTCTATTATTTCTAGTATGGTAAGTATTTACTTTTATTTTTAAGCGCTTTTCAACAGCAGTTTCTCAGTTGGTTTGATTTATTTCGGTGTTTTATTACTTTAGCAAATTTCATTTCATCGGCATAGAATAGGCCAATCCTTCTATTGCTGTGGGTGTCGTAATAGGCACCTGAGGGAACTTGACGGTTTAGGAATGGGCAACAGCGTCCCTCT